CCTGGGGGCTGGGTCCAGGCCTCAGGAGTCCCAGGTCTGCCCTCAGATCTGTCCATCCTCCCAGCTGAGGCCTGGGGGCTGGGTCCAGGCCTCAGGAGTCCTGGGTGCTGCCCACAGCTCTGTCCATCCTCACAGCTGGTGCGGTACAGTGCTGACGGCCTCCTGCAGCTGGGCCCCCTGGGCTCCACGGCCTTCCTGCCCGACTCCAAGTGCCTGGTGGACGATGGCCGGGGACGCACGCCCACCCTGAAGAAGTGTGAAGATGTGGCCAGGCCGGCACAGCGGCTGTGGGACTTCACGCAGGTCAGTGGTCTCTGAGACCCCAGGCTCATGTACCTCCAGGGCCGCCTGCGGATGAGACCAGGGCAGTGTGGCAGGGACCCTGGATCAGCTGCTCTCCAGGAGCCCCAAAGCACAGGGAGGGAGGGTGACTGGCCCAGGGTCACACAACCAGAGAGGGGTCAGAGTACAGCGCTACCACTTCCAGCCCTGACTGCCCGGGTTCCCAGGCCCAGGAGATGGACAGGAGGATTTGGGCAGAGGGATTTTGAGTGCCTCACCTTGGCTGGTGGTCTCAAGAGGCAAGACTGGAATTCCACAGAGCTCTGCAGAACCAGCACTCCACCCAACTGCGCTGGTGATGCCCGAGTCTGACCCTCCCAAACCCCCAGGAAGGAGTGGACCCTGCCCATCCTTCCTTCCCTCAGATCCCGCTCCTGAGGGTCTCTGAGCCCAGGGCCTGATCCCACCCCTCAGCACACCACGCCACCCTCTGAGCCTGACACTCTCGGGCCCAGGTCCAGGGCAGCTGGATGTGTCCTCCAAGCCCTGCTGACCCCGCTTGCCTCCTGTGGAGACCTGCAGGTCCAGTACCTCTGTTCCCGCTGGGCACAGACCCCATGACAGTGTGAGGGGCTCTGCTGTCCCCCCAGGGGCTTGGGGACCACTGGCTAGGAAGGAGCTCTCACTGCTGCCTGAGAGCTGCCTTAGAGGCCCTCGGGGTGGGGTAGGGGTGGCAGTGAGGTCAGGGTCAGCGGCCCTGCTGCAGCTGCCTCTGGGGCAGCCAGGTGGGGCCAGGGCCATGGGCTCAGGGCCCCCTGCGCTTCCTGGAACCCCTTGGACCCCAGAAATCAGCAGGGCAGGCTGACAGTGAGGCTGGCTGGGATGCGGGCGGCAGAGAGGACCAGGGGGCCGGGGGCTTCCTGGTGGCCATGTGGGGCAGTGTGGGTTCAGGGCTACCCCCTGTCCTGGGTGCCCCGTCTGATGCGGCTCCCCACCCCGCAGAGTGGCCCCATCGTGAGCCGGGACACGGGCCGGTGCCTAGAGGTAGAGATGTCCAAAGACGCCAACTTCGGGCTCCGGCTGGTGGTGCAGAGGTGCTCAGGGCAGAAGTGGATGATCAGGAACTGGATCAAGCACGGGCAGCACTGACCTTGCCCCCAGAGCCGCTGTCCAGGACATGGGCACTGGTGGACCTTGGGGAGCCCTGGGCAAGCCCGGGCTGGAGCCAGGACTGCCTCACACCACCCACCCCCCCGGGCAGGCTGGGCCATGTGCCCGGGACAGGGGAGGCCTGGCGCCTGCGGCCATAGCCACCATGTCGGGGACAGACCCTCCCAGGACGGGCAGCTCTGCCAAGGGAGGGTGTCCGAGGACTGGGACTCCCGCGCGACTCACGTGCCTTTCTACAGAGATCCTCCTCAGGCTGCCGGGACAGCCGCCCTGCATGTGCCGAAGCCCTATGAACTCACCCCAGCTACTCACGCCCTGGGACGAGGACCAGCACCACCCTCCATGCACACGCTCCCTCCCAGCAGACAGAGCTCGCGCCCCTCGGCCAGCTCTCCTTCGGCCAGCTCTCCTTCGGCCAAGGCCAAAGCCGGAGGGCAGCTCCGAGAGATCCGGGAAGAAGCGACAGCTGCCCTGGTCCCAAGGGCGACTGAGGCCAGGCCCAGGAGGCCACTCTGCTGCTCCGGGAGGCTTGGGAGGGGCCAGCAGCAGAGACGAAGCCACCTGCCTCGGGGAGCTGGAGAAAGCCCTGCGGGCAGGGGCTCTGCTTCTGCCAGCCCTCGCTGGACCATGCCCCTGCTGCCCCCTGGATCTGTGCCCTCTGTGGCAGAGGCAGCTGCGGACGCCCACCTCTCGCCTGTTTTTATAAATAAAGTCTTACGTGGCACTTACGTGGCACTCAGCCACCCCGCTGTTGGCGTCTTGTCGTGGCCCCATGTGGGCTGCAGGTGCTCAGCTGAGACGTGGCCTTGGGGCTCTAGCCTCAGGGAAATGTCCCAGTCCTGGAGGACACACGGCTCTCCCACCCTCATGTCCTGGAGAGCTGCCTCCACAGCCTGGACCAGGCGAGGGGGTGGGGCAGGTGTGGAGTGGCCAGAACTCGCCTCACAGCCAGCTGGCCACATGGAGGGAGAGGAGAGGGTCAGCTCCGGCCTCTCTGCAGCTGGCAGGATGCAGAACAGAATTCTCCTGCCCAGGTTTCAGAACAGTGTCCCCACGGCCCCAGCCTGCTTCACTCGGGGTCACTGATGCTCAGGACTGTTGCCCTCGCCCCACACTGCAGCACCCACCAGGCACCTCTGGGGTTTGCTGGCAGCCGGAGTGCATGTGCTTCCTGGGGCTGGCCTCATGTAGTCATGCTCACCCCTGCTGCTGAAGGCCAGGCTTGCATTCCCTCCCCAGGCAGAGCCTCCAGGCCTCTTTCCTGGCCTTGCAGGGAGAGTGTATCTGCCTGGTGGCTTCCAGTGTCCCCGCCCGTCGGGCAGCCTGGAGAGTGGCTGGCTTCGCTCTTGGACATCAGCTGGAGAGACTGGAAGATTCGTCTTCACCCTGTCCCACCCTCCTGGCCACAGTCAGGGACTCACCCCGGGTGGCTAGTGGAGTCACCAGCCACAGGGGACCTCAGGGAACCACAGGCAAACTTCCATCCTAGGGGTGGTCCTCCCAGGCCCCCTGTGGGGGGCACGGCCTCCAGCAGGAGGGAGGCCCCTGTGTGGCAGCAGGGGCTGTCCTGTGTCCCCAGGGCTCCTGCCTCCTGTGGCGGGGACTGCGGGTGCCCCAAGGCTCCCTGCAGCAGGCGGCCACCCACTGTGTGTCACCCCAGAGTTCATTCCCAAGAGCCCGATGCTCAGGAGGGGGAGGAAGAGGCCCAGGACCCTGCTATTGAAGACGTGCCCATAGCACTGAGGCCAGTGTCCAGTCGACCCTGACCACGATGTATGCCCACGCTGAGACCAACTTCACATGGAGGACGGTGGCCTGCACTGCCAGGAACCCCAGCCAAAGCCTTCCGCCTCAAAACATGTCGAGTACCCCAGACAGCAGAGCCAGCCCAGTGTGGGGGGCAGAGCAGATGGGAGAGGAGGGGTCACCCAGGTCCAGGTGACCCCAACCACACCCTGTGCTGCCTTTCCTGCCTTTCCTGCTCAGCACTTGTCTTTCCTTTTTAAACAACAATAGTGTTTTAAGTGGCAAAGGTACAAGCAAATAGGGTTTAATAAAACCTAATTCCCAGTTCGCTTCTTTCATTAATCCAATTATAAATCATCTCTGCAGCAAATTCAGAAAAGTCATGTTGTGTGTAAATCGGCTCATTTGCAGCCAGAGACCCGAGCAGGCCCGACGCCAAGACCTGAGCCGCGGTTGGGAGAGGCGGGCGGCAGGCGCCCCCCATTCTGCCCTGAGGGACGTCACCAGCATCAGAATTTCATTTTGCCTAATAAAAATGTTCCTCGTGCCAATGAATCTTCACTGATGGCCAGGGTGCAGGAGCGGATCCGGGAGTGGCCCAGAGGGCCTATGGGGCCAGGAGGGAGCCGCCTGGCTGGGGCTGACCAGAGACCCCTGGAGAAGAGACCCCTCCCCGGAAAAGCAGTGCGTCTCGCCGTGGCCAAGTATGGACACCAGCGTTGGCCTGGCAGCCTGGTCCTGCAGGCTCCAGCAGGAAGCCGACCTGTGCCCACAGCTCCTCCTCACTCCCAGAGGAGAGTGGGTGTGGGGCCTGCCTATCCATCCCTGGGTGGCTTCCTGGGCTTTTAGTCTGCTTCCTGGACTTGCTCATATCCTAATTTTTCTGCAAAGACATTTGCCTGTGGTGAGCAATGGTTGGCTTCTTTCCTTCCTGAGCATTTACTAGGTACCTGCTGTCCCAGGTGCTGGGAGCAGCGGGGATGGGGACAAGGGATGCACTGAAATCTCCCCTTCTCGGTGTAAGTGCTGAGGAGAGGACAAGCACCACCAGGTGATGGTGGGGACATTCGCAGGCATCAGGGCACCTCGTGGGCGAGGAGATGCAGTAAAGGCCAGGGGGCAGCAGGCCCTCCATGGGGAGGCTCAGCACAGCCAGCAGATGTGGGCCAGGGGATGGGCATAGGGAGAGAGAGGAGATGAAGGGCTGGCATGGAGGCAGGAGGCAGCCTGCCAAGGAGTAGCCCTGCGGGCGCTGAGGGACCTCCACCCTGCTCAGAGAGGGTCTGGGGCAGAGCAGGGCCTTACCTGCCTCTCGGAAGGGTCCCCTAGCTACTGGGCTGAGCCAACTTCAGGGAGGGAAGGGAGGAAGGGGAGACCCCCAGGAAGTGGCCATGGGACCTGGGGTGCTTGCACAGGACAGCAGGCTGAGCACGGTCACAGTCCTGTGCAGGACCTGCCAGGGAGGAGAGGGATGGCTTCCCACCAGCCAGGTGGGGTCTGGTTGGTGCCGGAGGCATCATGGAGAGGGACTGTGAGCCGGTGAGCAGGAGGTTGGGCACAGGTTGGGGCCGGAGTCCCTGGCGTCTCAAGACGTCGGAGGAGGTGAAATTGCTGAGGACCACATGGACCTGAGGAAAGTGGCCCACAGAGCCTCCAGTCAGCAGGTGAAGGCCCCTGGGGGAGGCCTCGATCCCAGCCATGCGAGCCACGGCCCCAAGGTTCCTGGGCAGAGCTGGTGGCAAGAGTGGGGCTTGGTGGTCAGCGGATAGCACTAGGTGTGCACCCACTATGTGCCCACCTGGGGAGGCTGGCTGGTCCACACTACTGTAGTGAGATGAAGGCCCTGTGTCCAGAGGGCCAGCGGTCATCTCCACAGCAGCCTCCTGAGGCCATGGCCCCCCTCACCTATCAGCCAGGCCAGGATCAGGGCACCAGGATGTGGCCCAACACTGCACCCTCAACCCCACGTGGCTGCTGCTTCCCAGAGGCTCCTGCTGTTCCCCAAGGAGCTAGAGAGTCCCCCACAGAAGGGAAGGGTCTTAACAGACATGTCCCCCATGTTCCCATGGTGCCTGGGGAGCTTTTCACAGCCAGGCCCAGCCCCACCCCTGGGCTTGCTGACCACAGCAAGGCAGGCAGATCCTCCCACATGTCCCAGGGTGGAGCAGCTGGCAGCTGGTAGGGGACTGGAGCAGGGACACAGCCTGCCACAGGCCCAGAGTCTCCCCCGGCAGGCACAGGCAGTCCCCAGCTGCAAGGACACAGTGAAGACAAGAGCCCAGATGGTCTTCAACCTCAGAAACCCCTGGGGGCTCAGTGGGCCCAGAGAGGAGCACAGGCCAGGTCTCAAGGACCCACGCAACCGGGGACATCAGGTAGTGATGATCAGCAAGGCTCGTGGGCCCTGGGAGCAACCCTGCGTCTAGGCAGGTTCCGTGGGAGGGCCCGACACCGGCCTCTGCATCAGGCAGGGATTCAGTAGGACCTTGGAGACCCTCAGAGGAGCCGGGGATGAAGGCCTCCATGGAGGACGCAGTTTGACTTGCCCACAGCCACAACACCATGGTCACAGCGTCAGGACCCCGGGAACTTCCAGGGAGCGTTCTGTTTGCAGGCTGGCCTCGCGGCTCTGAGGCACCACAGCTGCTGGTTTTATTTTTGTGGCTCTGGGGACTGAACCCAGGGGCACTCAACCACTGAGCCACATTCCAGCCCTATTTGTTATTTTTTAAGACAGGGTTTCACTAAGTTGCTGAGACTGGACTTGTTTGTGATCCTCCTGCCTCAGCCTGCCGAGGAGCTAGGATCACAGGTGTGGCCATGTCTGGCCACAGCTGCTTCTTGCCACCCTGAGAACGTTACACCAAGGTCACTCCTTCTTGCAGGCTGCAGGCCCCAACCAGACAGGAGAGCACAGAGAGTCAGCGGTGCTGGTCATACCTGGCACCCAGCCCACAGGCCCCAGGAACTTTGTAAACAGTTCTGCAGGCAGGCATGAACGGGCAGCCACAGGCTCCTCGGAAGGCCCTGAGAGACCCCACTCCTCTCTGACTCCCAGGCAGGCCTCGGTTTTGGTTTCTTGGCTCCAGCATGGCCCATGTCTCCTCTGTGCCTTGTGCCCTCTCTGCTTCCTGTGAGGACACTGCACACCAGATCAGGGCCCACAGTGCTACAGCAGTTGGAGCTCATCTTGACATGGCAGCTGCAAAGGACATCTGAGGACCTCGGCAGGGCCCCATCGAGGTAATGTGAATTGGAATGGCACAGACACCCTCCTGGTGCGGATAGGCCCAGAGGCTTCCCTTGGTCCTCAAAGGAGCAGAACTGCTCCCAGGCCTGCGGGCATGTGAAAGGGAGGGGCGACCCGGGTCACAGGACTTCCACCCCAAAAGTCCTTCAATGCCCCTCAACTTGGGAACGGCCAACACCCATGGGTGGAAAGACACCAGCATGGTGGTCTCCAGGGAGGCACAGCCTGAAACCAAGACCAACCTCGCTAAGGCTGGTGAGGCTGTGGCCTGAGGGACTTCCAGCAGCCGTGGGGGCCAAGAAGGGCCTACAGCAAGGGACAGGTGTCATGGGCTCACTACCCTGGGCCCTGCGGTCCCACACCTTGGCCCACGGAGGGAAACCAAAGCAAGGGCCCCAGACAGGTGAGGACTCTGGCCACTGTTCTGCTCCTGCGGGCTGCTCCGGCTCTGGCCGAGTCCCATCCCACAGCTGCTGCTCTGGGCCACCTCCTCACAAGCCAGCAAGCCCCGGGCTCCTAGCCTCCCACCCTCTATTGGGTCCCTCCGTCTTCCAACCAGAATCAGGCCTGCCACCTGCAGAGTGCCCAGGCCCGTCAGCCCTCCCAGGTCCTCATGCCCCACGGAGGGACCATCACATCAGGTGTTAGCACAGAAAGACCAGGCCGGACACAAGCCTCACGAGTCAGCTCCGCTCTCTGCTCAGGAACAGGGTGCAGGGTTGGGGCGATGCCATTGACCCACCTCCTGGTGCAAGAGGAGCTGCTGAACAAAGCAGGGCCCTGCCTTGTGCGGGTGGTGCTGAGAGGTGGCTCAGGGCGCCTGTCGGCCTGCACACTCAGCACCTGGGGGTCTGTGATTCCACGGGTGGATGGGTCAGCGAGAGCACCCAGGAATTTGGACTTGGGGTTGGGGGTCTGTGGTCTGCCTCTGAGGAGAGATGAAAGCTGTCGGTGTCGGGCTCTCTCTTCACCCCCTTCTCCCAGGCCTCACTATCTTGGGGAATACCAGGGGCCTGTCGCCATCAAGGTGGGCACCCTGGAGGGGCCCCACTGGCCTCCCCCTCCCAGAGCTTCCTTGGGGGACAGCCAAGGCTGCCTCAGGCCTGTGCTCTAACTGTGGCTACTCTCCACCACCTCCAGTGACCAGAGCAAGTCCCAGTCTACTTAGACCCAAGGAGCAGGGACAGGAGGTCATATTGGATGGGAAGCCAAGCACTGTCACAACTGCAGATTGTGGATAGAGGAGCAACATTCCCGAGGCCACTGTGACTGCCAGCCCTGCAAGTGGCCTCTGGCCCAGGACTCCATCCCTCGTACCCAAGAAACCCATGCATCCTGTCCCACATGCCACGTGCCCTCTGATTGTGGCACTAAGACCAAGCTATGATCTAGTGACAAGCCCAGCTGTAATGTCCCCATCCAGCAGCTCCACACCCAGGGATGCAGGGCAGGCAAGTTCTGCAGCCACAGCCCAGACTTGGTAACTGGGGGAACCCAGCTTCCTTCAGGGGTCAGCAGTGTGGGTCTGTGGGCACTGTCCCTTACTGTCCAGAGGCAAACAACCTGCTTGGTGTACAGGCATCATGGTCTCGGCTGGGCAGGCAAGGCTGTGGAACTTGGGCCCCGTGAGGAGGAGGCCTAGAGGCCTGGGCCTTGCAGGTTGAGAGGCATTTGGGGCACCTGACCCTGGGTCCTACCTGGGCTTGCAAAGGGCCCCGGGGTGAGGCACCAACATCTGCTAATGCGGAGGCTGGAGCCACGGGGAGGTCACTCCAGGAGCCAGGCCCCGGGCATGGAGGCACATGGTCCCTCCTACCCAGAGACACCGGGACCTCAGGGTGTCCCTGGGCAGATTGGCTCCCAGGTACACAGCTGCTCGGTCACTGGCTGGCGCCCCCTCCTCAGGCCACTGGGCTTGTCAGGGCCACTGGGCTGCTGAGTTTTGGAAGCTCCCAGAAAGATAGATTAATTTCCTCAAGAGGCAAATCCGAAGCACTGCAGGGGAGGAACCGACAAGGCCCGAAATGCCCTGAGGTGGGAGCAGCCCTGGGGTCCAGCCCCAGGGACCCCCTTG